AGTTTGTTAAAGGCACCCGCTTGTGGAGTATGTCTGTCACAGCCGCACTAGAGAACCAAGACATGTGTCTTCTTAACGTTAACAGTTAAGTGACCTTCATTCCCTCTTCCTCCTTCGTGATGACTGAGAAGTGGCAATGGCATTCCAGCTGCCTGGACACAGCGATGGAGACCACATATGGAAGACGACAGAGGACCCTACCAGCCCTGGACGACCTCACGGAGCAATGTTGATACTGCGTCAGCTTCAGGAGACAACTTCGGAGAAGTGAGGTGTGAACAAACTGCTTTGGGAGAGAAACGTTGGGAAAAGATGGAAAAAAAAAAGTTGCCATTGAGTTCACTTCACCTCATGGTGACCCATGTATATCAGAGTCATACTGTTCTCCATGGGGTTTTCACAGCTGGTTTCTGAAGATGATCACCAGGCCTTCTGCGGTGCCTCTAGGTGGGTTTCAACCATCGACCTTTCAGTTAGTAGGCAAGCGCTTAACTGTTTGAGCCATCCAAGAAAAGAACGCTGTTGTTGTGAGATGCCAGAGTCAATTTCAACTCATAGTGACCCTGTGTGACAGAGAATTGCCCCACAGAATTTCCTAGGCTATGATCTTTACCCAAAAAAAAAGTGAAACTCACTGCCATCGAGTCAATTCTGACTCATAGCAACCCCCATTGGGTTTCCAAGGCTGTAAATCTTTACAGAATGGCTGATGGGTTATGAACCACCAACCTCTTGGTTAGCAGCTAAATGCCTTAACTACTATACTGCCAACAGGGAGCTCTGATGGTGCAGCGCCTAAGGCATCTGGCCGCTAAATAGAAGGTTGACGGGTCAAACCCACCAGCCACTCTGCAGAAGGAAGATGGGGCAATCTACTTCCACAAAGATTTACCATCTTAGAGACCCAATGGGGGTCGCTATGAGTCAGAATCAACTTGGTTGGCAGTGAGTTTGGTCTTCCTTCCTTCCTTCCTTTCTTCCTCTCCCTCCCTCCCTCTCTCTCTCTCTCTTTCTTTCTTTCTTTTTCCTAATCTTTACAAGAGCAGAGCTGCTGATCTTTCTCCTGTGGAATCACCAGGAGGGTTTGAACTGCCGACCTTTGGGTTAGCAGTTGAGCTACTTAACTTATGTGCTACCAGGGCTCCTAGAAAATGAATAGAAATATGTAAAGAAAGGGATTAAGAATGGTTTCCCAAGTGACAATTTAACTCTCTCCTTCTCTTTTCCCATGAGTTTTCCAGGAAAAATCTACACTTTTCTATGTGGCAGACTTCCTCCCACCACATCCTCCTGTCTTGCTAACCCAACTGGGTTTCTCCAAGTACCAGTAAAAATGTGCTCAGGGAAGGCGGGCCTTGCCCAGAGGGTGAACCCTGATAGGTCTGAACCTTGTCCATGTTTGCTAGTGATTGGTTGGGCATAATCATGTGATCCATTTGTGGCCAATAAAAGTTGAGAGAGCTAAAGGGAAACGTAAAAGAGTCCACGTTGTAGTTGGAGATTTTAACACTGTTCTCTCAGTACTTGCTAGAACAAATAGACAGAAAATCAATAATGATATAGACTTAAACAACATTATCAATTAATTTGATCTAATTGACATTTAAAGAAGACTCCATAAAATAACAATAATTGTTGTTGTTGTTGTTGTTATGTACCGTCGAGTCGGACCCGACTCATAGCGACCCCTCCTTGGGTTTCCGAGGCAATAACAACAATATACACATTATTTCCAAGTGTACACAGAATAGTATCCAATACTATATGCTGGACTGTAAAACAAGTTTTATTATATTTCAAAAAATTGAAATCATAGAATATGTTCTCTAATCACAAAAATATCTTGAATTTGATAGGAGAAAGTTAAAAAAAATTAATTATAAAAGCAACATTTTACACATGCAACTTTGGAAAGTGGGGAGAATAGATAACAGGGGACAATTACAGCCTCTGTTGCAGGAGATCATCATAATAGCCCTTAAACACTGATGGAACCGGGAGCCCTGGCGGCACAGTGGTTAAGTTCAAACCCACGCAGCTCCATGGAGAAAGACCCGGAAATTTGTTTCTGTAAAGAATACAGTCTAGAAACCTCTATGAGACAGTTTTACTCTGTCACATGGGATCGCTTTGAGTTGGAATTGACCCAACAACAACAACAACAACAGTGCAATGCAGTGGTTAATGCAGTGGAGTCTTCAGTCAAACTGCCTGGATTCAACTCCTGACTCTCTCCTACTACGTGACCTTGGACAACTTATTTTGCCCTTCTGTGCTTCATCAAGCCTCTCTACTTCTCTGGTCTCATCAAATCCCCAATCCACTGCCATGGAGTCAATTCTGATTCACAGGAACCCCGTAGGGCAGAGTAGGACTGCCCATAAGGTTTCCAAAGCTGTAAATCTTTACTGAAGCAGACTGCCTCATCTTTCTCCCATGAAGCAGCTGGTGGGATCAAACCGCCAGCCTTTTAGTTAGCAGCTGAATGCATTAACCACTACACCACCAGAGCTCCTCCATCTAATGCCAGTGGCAGTAAAACCATTTCATCAGCTGGAAGATGGAGATAATAAACCCATAGGAAGGTTGTGAGAATTAAATGAATTAATGCAAGGGCTTGGCACAGTATCTTGCAGAAAGTAAGTGTTCCAAAGTGTTAACTAGTGTTATCTGTATTATTTCACAGCCCCACATAATTCAGAAGCTAAAATCTGCCTCAGAGGAATTGAGACTCAAAAAGAGAAGGGAAAAGAGTGGGTGCTCTTCATTTTGCTTATTTGTTCAACAGATGCTGACTGAACACTTGGCCTTCCTTATTCCAGGGCTGTGTTGATGACCCAGACAGAGCTTAGCCTAGCTCATATACATCCAGAATTCTTTGGTTGCAAGTGACAGAAATTTAACTCAAACTAGCTTAGGATGGAAGAGAAAATTTAATGGCTCCTGTCATCAAAATTCCAGTGGGATGAGGTGCAGCTGGCCTCAAAAGTACTGGAACCAGGAAAATAAATGCTAACAGAACAAAGACACCTTAATCTCTCTCTTTCACTCTCTCTCTATCTACCATATCAGACTTACTCTCTTCCCCTCTAAACAGTTTCTTCTACAAGGTGAGGAAAGAAGGAGTGGGAAAATGCCCTCAGGTGTCTTCTCAGCATGTTGTTGTTGTTGTTATGTGCCCTCGAGGCAGTATCACTACGATAGTAGGATTGCCCAACCTTCCTTCCGAGGAGTGGCTGGTGGGTTTGAACCGCCAGCCTTCTGGTGAGCAGTCAAGTGCTTTAGCCACTATACTACCACAGCTCCTCTCAGCATAGGAAGACCTATTCCTCACCACCCAAGAGGATCAAGCTTTTTATCCCCAACTCCAAATCCAAAAACCCAGGGAAGGACTCTCATGGGCTCAGCCTACAGTCTGTTCCTATCTCTCAACCAATCATTGTGTCCAGGAGGTGGGGCATAAGGATTAGCCCAGTTTGACTCACAAATCCGTCCATTCACTGAGGTGGCGGAGGGGGCCCATAAGAGAGCGTAGCTCCTATGGTGTCCCTGAGTGATGCAAACTGTTAACATGCTCAGCAGCTAAGGGCAATGTTTGGGAGTTCTAGTGTAGTGCTTAAGGCACTTGACTGCTAACCACAAGGCTGGCGGTTCAAACCCACCAGCCACTCCTCAGAAGGAAGATTGGTCAATCTACTTCTGTAGAGATACTGCCTGGGAAACAAACCCAGGGAGGGGTCACTATGAGTTGAATCAACTCCACGGCAGTGGGTTTGGGTTTTTTAATTTTTTTGGGGGGGGAGGGCTGGTTTAATTTGTACACATGGAAAACACTGAGTTGGCAGATGTGTTATATACATAATTTTACACACACACACACACAAACCTATGGTGTACAGTTCTACTGTGACACTCGGGGTTGCCATGAGTCAGCACTGGTTCCCTACAAATGGAAGACGGGTATTATCTTGAGCTTCAGTTATAAAACAGACTCGGCTAACCTTCTCATCCTTTTCCTCCTCTACTTGGAACTCTGGAGCAAGGGGTGAAAAAGTTAAGTGGTCTAGTAGATGAATGGTCTCCCCAGCCCAGCCCACCAAAGGCATTTTCACGCGGCAGGAGCCCAATTCCTGCTTATTACAGGAATGACTCAGTTAATGTTCCCGGAAGTTGTCCTGGGACGGCCTCAATTTCAGACTCTGAGTAGGTAATGAGTAGACCTGGGATAGAGGGTCGGCACACGCGTGTAGTGTATTTTAAGATGCACAGACCCATCTAGGACCAGGAACTTTTAAGCGATCCTCGTCGCCTAGCCGGGCCCAGCTGGGGGCGGGGCTTCCAGACCCCAGCATTTTGGATTGAACCATCTTCTATCTATTAGAGGGGAGAGCTGAGAGAATACTTCTGCATCTCTCACCAGTCCTCTTACCACTCCCTAGCCATGAATACGATATCTTTGCTCCTATAACAGCCACACAGTTTCCGCTTTCGCCTTATGTTTCACGGTTCCACGTATCCACACATCTCAGGTTTCCCTACCACCACTACCCAGTGGCTCGCCCCAGTTTGACGCATTGCAGGGAAGGCCGGACCAATCGGAGCCGCGCTCTCATTTTCTCCATGGCCCGGGCCCAATAGCGACGCGGCTCACACAGAGACGCGTCACGCGCCGCCGAGCAGTGCCCTTCCGCCAGGGTGGAAAGTGGAGTGGGCACAGGGGGCGGGGCCCCGGTTACAGAAAGTAGTCCCGCGGCGGGAGTGAGCGCGCGCGCGGCCGGCGGTATATCCAGCACTGTGAAGCAGGGGAGACGGGGGCTCCAAGGGACCCGTCGGTCTGGTGGGGGGCGCGGAGGGATCCGTGGGGACCGCAG